GCGCTAAACTTGTGTTTATATGTTTAAATTAATATTATCAGCTATTCAAAGTCCATTCCAGCAAACCAAAACAAATGAATTCGTTCCTCCACCGAGGTTCATAGTCAAGAACCATCATGAAGGTAAAGTGTATTTTCCATCTATATACATGAGACACAAAATTATATTTATCGATTATATGTTTTGACTATGTCATACAATTTTTCACGCAGCTTACAATAATCGATATGAAATGGACAGTGAGTCTGAAAGTGAAAATGAAGATGACGAGAATCAAACGTACACTAACTATCCAGATGGAAAGTCTTTGATAAACCCATCACCACAACATATCCCACAACAAATGAATCATACAGTTACATCGCCTATTATCCACGGGATACAAAAAATCGGTAATCACCTTGTTGTCAAATTTATTATAGTTTGTCAAATTAAAATATTTATTCATCATCATATATTGTATATGTTGTTACTGTTAAATAATTTTAAAGACTAATTATTTTTGAAAAAGATGATTATGACTATTTTAAATATCTGTTGATATTTTCTGTTTACTTATAACTAAAATTAGTTATATGTAATATTAATAATTTAGTTTTTAATAAAAATGAGTTTTTAACAAGATGTAGTATTGAAACATCTGATTTTTAAATAATGTATATCGAGGCTCATATGTCTTTATTAAGATTTAAAAGATAAAACAATAATTATGTTACACATTCTCTATATTTTCATATTCAACTACATAGGAACAGAAAACTACTATATCAAATATATAAATTACTTTTGAAATATATTATATAGTTTATCAATACTTGAGTAATAAAATGATTTTATTAGAATTACGTATATTTTATATAAATAACATATTTAATTACCATGAATTATTTTATGAAATATATTTATATCATTTGGATACTGAAAAATGGTTCTAGAAGTGATTTTCTTACTAATAAAAAACATAAAATAGAAAATTTATTAACAAATAATATTATATTAGTTTTTCTATTACTCAAAGACACCTAAGAAAAAATTAAATGAGTTCTCGTTTAATATAAAATAAATAGTTCAAATACATTTTATAAATTAATATTTAATCTTACTTAAATGAATTAGAATCTCTTATAATAATTTAAAAAATCTGATAAGCCTATATAAATAATTTTGCATAAACATATATATTTTTTTAATGAAGATATGTTCTTAAACAGGTTATTACGACGACGGAGATCCAGTTTGGAATTGTAAGCATTGTCAAGCATATATGTGGTATGGTGAAAGAATTGGAAAACCCCATCGTAGTTCCAATCATGTCTTCACAATGTGCTGTAAAAGTGGTCAAGTTGTGCTTCCTCGGCTCGCGAATCCTCCAATAGAGTTAATGACTTTGTTATGCAAAGGAGACGAGTTAAGCAAACATTTTTGAGAGTTCGTACGACCTTACAATATGATGTTCTCTTTCACATCTCTTGGGGGCAAGATTGATCATTAAATTAACAATGGTCGTGGACCATTTCTGTTCCGAATGTCCGGTGAGAACTATCATCGTATTGGTGATATAGTCCGCCAGCCTGAAGAAGCTCCAAAAGTTTCCCAGCTGTATATCATTGATACTTTAAATGAGATCAAAAATAGACTTGAAGCTTATGCCGGGTATTTTTGATGACTTTTTAAACTTAATATGTCGATATATATTGTTCAGACTGCAGTATGGTCCACGTTTTCCGAACTTGTATTTTTTTTTTTAAACATATGTTGCAGGTTTGACAGAGCTGCTGCTAAGAAAGTAAGAGAACCACTTGTTCTTCTTCTGAAGAATATGTTAGATCAGTGTAACCCTCATGTTAAGGCTTTTAGGCATGCAAGAGACTGATTCGATGTGGAAGGATCTACTGATTATAGGATGAGGTTGATTGAGAGTCGACAATCTGATGGACGGACCCATAATCTTCCGACTGCAAATGAAGTGGCTGCTTTGATACCTGGCGATTTCGTTTTAAATATGGAACCTATAGATATTTTTCTAGAGAGTACAAGTGGAAAGTTGCAAAGGATAAGTGAATTACATCCGGCGTATTTTCCTCTGCAATATCCACTGTTGTTTCCATATGGAGAGGATGGCTTTCGATTAAATATTCTTATTGGTTTTGATGACAGCACTGCGAGAAAACGCAAGAATGTAACTATGCGTGAGTACTTTGAATTTCGGATTTTAGAGAGGAGGTGAAAAGCACCTACAATTAAAATATCAGGCAGATTGTTTTAATCAGTTCCTTGTGGACGCCTACTCAATGATATAATCGAGTAGACTGCGATACTTGTGGCTGAATCAGAAAAAGCTCCGGTCTAGTAGTTACGATGCAATTCAGAAAGCAGCTGCAAAAGGTGGAGCTAAGATGGCTGAGCAAGGGAGCCAAATTTTCATTCCAGCAACTTTCACCGGAGGAAAAATGTATATGAAGCAGCACTACTATGATGCCATGGCTATGTGCAAGTATCAAGGATTTCCAGATATTTTAATCACTTTTACGTGCAATCCAAAGTGGCCTGAAGTTACAAGGTATCTGAAAAAATATAACCTGACCAGCGAAGACAGACCTGAAATATTGTGTAGAGTTTTCAAGATGAAACTCGATAATCTTGTCGGTGAGTTGACAAAAAAGAACGGCTCCTTATTTGGCCCTACTGCTGCAGGTAAATCTCCTTACATATGTTATCCGTATAAATATATTAATTGTTTTCTTTCAAACAGATACTTTTTATAGTATATTTTTTCATTAAAAATGGTCTAAACCCTTTTTCAGTTTGTTAGTAATGTACACGATTGAGTTTCAGAAAAGAGGAATGCCACACACTCATATTCTTGTCTTCATGGAAAAAGGATCTAAATTTCCAACAGCCGATGATGTAGATAAGATTATTTCTGCTGAAATACCAGACAAGACAGTAGATCCAGACCTGTATGAAATCGTTGGGGATTGTATGATCGATGCATGGTCCTTGCGGAGCAGCAAAGAAGGATAATGTATGTATGGTTAACGGTAAATGTTCTAAGATGTTTCCAAAACCTCTCAACATCAGGGCATCGATTGACGCAAATGGATTTCCAGCTTTCATGCGTCGCATTGATGGTAGGTTCATTGAAAAAAATGAAATAAGACTAGAGAATGGATATGTTGTACCATACAACAAAGACCTCATGCTCTGATATTGCGCGCATATGAATGTCGAGTGGTGCATCCAAACACGAGCTGTTAAGTATCTTTTCAAATATATTCATAAGGGGCCTGATTACGCTTCAGCTGCAATGGATATGAAAGATGAAGATGGCGTCATTGACGAAATTAATAAAAAATATTACGACTGCAGGTATTTTTAGTTTTAAAAATTCGTTTTACTCTATACAAATTACTAAATTCTATTAATTTATAACCAATATATATTAAATTCAGTAGAAACTCTATAAGAAATCCATCATCCGTAGAAAATAAATAGAATTCTTGAATCTGAATTTCTAAAATGCCTTATAATGGTTACCATGAACCGTATATAACTTGGTCTTCAGGTGACATTATTATTAAATATATATTTCACTTTTTAATTTAATAATTTCATCAGTGAATAAATACATTATTAATAAAAAGAGTTTTTACTGTTATTTTAGGTTTAAAGTAAATAGAATAGTGTATAGCTTAAAATATACAAATTTGAATAGTGCCATCGACAACGAAATTTATGTAACTCAGTTTTTACACCATTATTATTTATTAACTTCATAAATGAACAAATACATTATTAATAAACTGAATGTTACTGCAGTCTGAAACATATGTTATTAACTCAGTTTTTTACGCCATTATTATTAAATATATATTTCACTCATTTTTAAAAGTTAATAACTTCATAAATGAATATAAAACATAATTAATAAACAGAGTTATAAAACCGATTTAGGCTTCAAAATAAATATAATAGTGTATACCTTAAAATATATTAAAACTAGTGGTTTACCGGCGCTATGCGCCAGATTTTTATGTTTTATTTTTAAATAAATTTATAATTTATTTTATGGTCTTAGTAAATTGTTTAAAAATATATGATGAAAATATGTTAAAAGAGAACCTGATCATTTAAATACAGATACAATAGTATCTTGCTTTATACCATGAAATTAAATTTTTAAATGTTGTTCTTATGTTTATTACTTTATTTGTCATATATTGATAGTATATTTCTTATCACATTCTCTTAATTTTATATTTGATTTTAATATTTATTCATATTTTAGATCTTTTAGACTGTTTCACATAGTATTTATTTAAAATTATTATAGTACAGTAATCTGAAGACGTGATATAACTGTTAATATGTAATTAAAAGCGATTTTGTCATATAATACCAATTTTTTCATGGCATATAAGGAAACTATATTCATCAAAAATATGGAGAAATTTTAATTTTATTTTGTTACAATAAATTTTGATGTTTGAAAATTAGTATAATTTATATTTTTCATAATTAATATATCACTATTTTATGTGATGTTCTTATGTTGTGAATACTAAATATCTTCTAAATATTTTTTTTTTTTATCTACGAAAGTTTCGTTTGTTACAAATCTTAGCTAGCTTTACTTCAAAAGTAAATGTTTGTCAAATAAAGCAGTATATTCTTTCTATTCCAAATGCAATCAAGTTCTTTTATCAGTTGTTTTGAACATTCTACATTTCTCCCTGAGTGCTGCGACAAATCAGCTGCTGGAAGCAAATGAACTTCATATGTTTCTCAGAAAGCAAAAGGACATTTATTCATTCATGAGAAGTTTATACGTCAACATCCCCAATACGGAATTTAAATGATAATGGAAACAAAACTCGAAGATTGTTCATAGTTTCATGTAGGAGCTTCGACTATCATAACATAACTTCGATTACACCGCATGAAACATTGAATAAAATAATCTGGTACACATTTGAAGCATAGTATCTAATAGCCCACGTTTAGTTCTTAGTAAATTTAAGTTTCCACCTTATAAAATACAAAAAAAAATTAACATTGAGGTGAAATAGTGGGAGCTAATGTGAATAAACAATAACTTTATCTAAAATATATATGTTACTAATGTAGAGCAATGAACACAAAAGCTAACAGTATATCAACTACCATCTGCTTAAATTTCGATTCATTATGTGCAACTGGATATAATAACATGCATTCACAAAAACAGATTGGCCAGATCGATATCTTAACCTAAGTATTTCCTGTAATGCCTTTGTCACATAAGGAATAGTTGCTTTGTTCCAAGTTCCATCAGCCTGCAAAACTCAAGCAAATAGCCAAGATCAGACTTAATTTAAGAAAATAGCCAACACAAATCGATACATGAGTCTACCGGATGTGTACATGCACTACATGCCATATGCTCTCCTTGAGTTACATACATCGGTACATGGGTCCTGGTCTCAAGAAAATAGGCAACACATATCAGACTGAGTTTAAGGCCATACTGAAATTGCAACAGGATATGCAAATGTTATTGTGCAATTATGTTCGCTTATAAGACCCAAAAGATTCATGCATCGATCAAGCTTGACTACTGTGACATGAATGGAGATTATTAGATTTTTCTAAATAGCAAGCTCATTCTCAATAACTTGTGCAAATATATAACTATATACAATGTCATTACTCATGTTTACCTCAACTTCATCGGTTCTTAGAGCTGCACCATTGAGGGTATCTCCTGTTTTTAGCTGAGAGGTCGCATCCTCCATATCAGAGTTGAGCTGAGTGAATTTCCAGCCCAGTACCTTCCAAGTTTTCTTCATTTATAGTACAAATCATTGTTAATAAGTAAATCAACAAAGAGGGAAATACGAAAGAGACCACATAGTGATTATTTTCAACTCACCTCCACAGCTGTGTCCTCATTATATATGAATTTAGGAAATTTCCTCTTGAGATCCTTTCGGTCTACTCCGGCTTTAGGATATAGCCTTGTTGGTCTGATTTAGTTCATAGAAGTGACATCACACATCAACATATGAAACTCAAGGAAAGCAAAGATAATTTCACTGATGAAACCAATCTGTCACTCTGATCAACTAAATAGGAAGTAGTGCATATACGCACCCAAGAGCATATGCTGAGTACACCTTGAGAGCCACTGCTTTTATTTCCCTTTTCCCTTCCTGCAGCTTTGATTTCTGACAATGTTAAACCTGCAAAGAAATTGAATTTTAGTTCACACTTGAGATACGACTCTTGAGTGGTGTTAGCCACTGAACATATAACCACATGTTGCAAGAGAGATGAGAGGTGTGCTGGGAGGAATAAAGAGAAAATGTTGCTTATGGAGGCATGCTGAAGAAGCCATAACTTTACCCAAAGAAAAAGAATCAAATTCTACAACTGATTATGTTCTCAGGTCTACTCTACAATACAGTGAATGTAATGATAATATTAAAAATTCAGAAACTATTAAAACACAATTGTAGACTGGCATCTGGGAAAATTCAAACCTGAAAACACATTGCTGATGAGCTTTTGTTCTCTTTTTACGGACTAAAAGCACAAACCACAAGGTGAAAATCGGTCGAGGTCGATCAAAAGACAAAACCTGCAATAAAAGAAGAAATATCACCAAACAATCGTAAAGTTTTTCTAAGCGTACCTTTGTGTGTTCATCTTCGTTACTGCCTTCATCATCTTCACAATCTCTTTCTCTGTTTCCTAGAATTTCTCTATCTCACAAATAATAAACTCACAAATAATAAACTCAATCTCTTTCTCTGTTTCCTAGAATTTCTCTATCTCACAAATAATAAACTGGTATTACCTTCTACTTACTCGCTTTTTCCAATTGTGATGAGTAATGGGAAAATTTTGGCAATCAATTAAGTTCCCTGAGGTAAACACCGAGAGACAAAGAGATATACATGCAAGACTTACTCAATAACCATGAAAAGAGGCGGAGATGGTGAGATTTGAAGAGGCACATCGACACTAGAGCTCCAATGGCAAGAATGAAGCAAACCCTATGACTTATGAGCCTCATTAAAAAGAGTGTATGAGCCCGTATCATGAAACAATTATAAACACAGCCCATTAATTAACTAACAATCTAGAGAATATAAAACTTGAAAAAATGATGCATGTGGCATTAAATGCCCCTAGGTGATTGTTGAGCTAGACACCCTAAGAAGGGAGAAAAGCTAACTTTATTATATAAGATGGCTTATAATATTGACCATGAAATAAATATAACGAAGTTTTTTACGCCATTATTATTTATTATATATTTCACTAATTGTTTTAATTTAATAACTTCATAAATGAATAAATAGATTATTAATACTCAAAGTTTAACTAATTTTAAGGTATACGTTGATCTTTACTAATTTTTGTTTCCATATTACTTAATTAGATATATTACGGCATGCGAGTCGTCTTGGAGGATTCTTGCTTTTCCTACACATTTATGTACTACTTCTGTAGAGAAACTTCGATTTCATCTTCCGGATCAGGAGCTGGTGTTTTTTGATGAAGATGAACCTATTCAGAATTCTCAACAAAAAGACTGTCAACCAATCCATGTTTTGGCCTAGTTCATAGCAAACAGAATATATCCAGAGGCAAAAGAGTTGACATATGCTGAATTTCCAACTAAATTTGTCTGGAAATCAGCTACGAGAGAATGGGTACCACGGAAACGAGGCTTTGCGATAGGGAGGATTTCGTATATTCATCCGTCAGGTGATGAGCTATATTTTTTTAAGAGTATTGCTAAATTGGGTAAAAGGTCCGACATCATACGAGGATATAAAAACAGTTGATGGTATTTTATATCCTACATACGAAGATGCTTGCTATGCGTTGGGATTGATGGATGATGACAAGGAATTCATTGAAGCTATCAAAGAGGCCACTGACAATAGTTCTGCCACCACTACAAGAAATATCGGTTTTGTTATCACACCAAAAACGCTACGAAAGGGTTTTAGTAGCGTTTTTAGAAACGCTAGGTCTGCCGCAGCTATGGCAGACCCCCCTTATTGTAGCTTTTTTCCGTGAGCTATAGTAAATAGATATGTAGTAGCGTTTTTTTACTAATACCGTAGAACTGTTTTATAGCGTTTTTTGGTCATGTTTTACCTTACTATGGCGATTTTACATTGCAATGATATAATTTCTAATGACGACTAGTTTGCGCGATGGAAGTTTTGTTCATAACGTTTTTTTTTGTCGAAATGTTCACGTATAATAGCCTTGTTTTATGGTTCTTGAATAATATTATGTATCTTATTTATCGTGTTAGTATTGCAATTTTCATAGCTTTTTTGTGCCATATAATTTCGTATATTGACACAATTTTGTAATTTGATTTTGTGCTATATTTGTTTTTATTTGTATATTTAATTTCATATTTTAATATTTAAATGCATAATAGAATATATAATTACACAAATTTATATAAATAAAATAACAATATTAATTTAAAACATTATTTATTAATTCAGCTTCATAGATCCATACAACTAACATAATATGCAGAAAGAAAAGAAAGTTACTACAAGTACATGATTATTAAAACACATAACACACAATGAAAGCAAGGAAATAAAGGACCATGCCATTTTACACACATGAAATCAAGAATATACAGAAACATCCAATTAGTTTGAGCTACCACCCTTGCCTCGTGAGGACTTGCGTTGTTTTTGTTGTGGGCGTCTCTCTGTTGCTGAGTTGTAGGCACCTAGTGCAATCAGATAGCTCATGTAGTCTTCCTCCATGCCTTGACTCTGAGGCAGGCTTCACACATTGCACAGGACTCTAAGTCGATGTCTTCTACAGAGGGTCTGGAGTCTACAGGATCCTCAATGTGTATAAATACATTGCTTCCTACAGAGGACTGTACACTTGTGGCTTCCTGCGGATGTTTTCCTTTCTTCTTTGCATCCATTGTTGACTGGAAAATTTAAGACAAGTTGAGGATATTTGAATTGAGGAGTCTAATAAATTAATAAAAAGTGTAAAAATCTCTAACCTTGAAAAGGGGTCTTCCGAGTTCTGAAGGCTTCAGATCTGTAAGATTTGTTAACTTCTGAGTTCGAGAAATCTAATAATCAGAAGGAATAGTTAGATGTATGGTTCAGAGGTCGCAAACCTTTGAAAAAATCGTGAGGAGTGATGGAGAGACGTGAGATTCGTGATGTTTTTGAGATGGGATCGTGAGGAGGGATGGAAAGTCAGAGAATCGTGGTGGTTACAGAGATAATTGGGGTGGTGGCTATAGATATAATCGTGGAGGTAAAGAAAAAGAATAACCTATTTTTTTGGTGGTGGCTACGAGCCTCTCGATGTTCCTCTTTTTCTTGGTGGCTGCTCCAATATAAAGAAAATGTATTTTCGTTTGGCTCCCAAAATTTAACCTTTTTTGTTTTGCCTTCAAAACTTTCATGAAAAATTTAGTTTTGGCTCCAATATATATAACACGAAAATATAGTTCTCAGCTTCAAAATCAATGGTTTTAGTTTGATTTCAACATAGTTTTAGGTTATTAAAATTTGTATTGTAGAATATATGTATTTCTAAATGATCATTAAGCAATAAAACACTAGTATTAAAAAATCATAATGCTGTAATAATAAACACTTCACATTATATAAGCATAACAATTATATCATAAACTCTAAAACTATGTACTAAGAGAGTTAACCTTTTACAAGATAGGTACAACACATCTTATAATTTGTGAACAAATATATACATGTGTCACGTTTTTTTAACAATAATCTTTTATTTTATAATCTGTGAATAAACAAGCATGTGTGATTTTTTTTTGTTTATGATCATGAAAATGAATTAGTTTTTTTTTATCAATAATCTTTTGTTTTATAATTAATCCTAAAATAATTATAAACCCTATCTAAACCCTAAACCTATGCCCTAAACCCTATCTAAACCCTAAACCTATGCCTGAAACCCTATCTAAACCCTAAACTCATGCCCCTAAACCCTAACTAAACCCTAAACCTATGCCCCTAAACCCTAACTAAACCCTAAACCTATACCCTAGAAAAAACTTATGATTTTATGTATAATTGAATATTCTGACTTTTCTATTTAGGCCTTTTTGAGAATTTGAAAAGATAAAATTTCAGCACATAACTTATAGTTCGTTTAATGTTCATCCGAGGCTTCATAATATCCGAACTCATAATATTAAAACGTACGCAGTCATAAGAAATGAGACATAGGCCATAGTCATGTTTCCAAACAAAGTCATATCATACAAAAAACATACATAAATGTGAACACATAACTTAGTGCTGCCTTATTTGGGGTTATGCCTGCAATTTGAAACAACATAATTAGCTAAGCATAACATTTTTTACCATTTAATATAACACAGCAGTGAACAACAATCTCACCATAACAATTTTATCCTCTGGCCAAGCAAGACAGCTTCCAGGTGCATCTTCCATATACTCGATCTCAGATGTTGTCCTCCACACACCAGCATCTTTAACCTTCACAACATCCACAAAAACTCGACATGCACCAGGGCCCAAAGGTTCAAAGTGGACAAGATGTTGAGGAATATTCGATGACCAACGTCCTTCAGCCACTATCACGTTATTTCCGGAGAGATCGAGGAGCTTTATTTTTTGATTCTTAGATGTTGAACTTACTGTTTTCGAACTTGGTCTTTCTGAAGCTGCAAAAAATGGTGTTCTTGAGTCAAACTGAACGCTAGTCGCAGGCCATGCTACAAAACAGTTCAGGTAATCCTCCGTAGTTGTCTTGCCAACTGTAGGCCTTCATATGTATGCGTTTGGGTTGACTACCAAATCCACATACACTGTGATTGCATTTGGACCTAGAGGAAGTCCATTGACCAAGGCTTTTGGTTCTATAGTTTCCCAGCAACCTATAGCAACCACTTCCTCATTCTGTATATAGTCCAACAGTTTGCAAGTGTTATTTTCACTTGTGGAAGGGCTCTGCCAAAAAAAAAAAAGAGTTAAAAATATGAAAGAATCAGGTAACGAGGAAGTTGAATGTTGGATACAAAAATTTAGGTAACTTAACCTTAAGAGCATTGTCCTGTGGATTGCAATTTGCTGGTGGAAAAATACAATGATCAGCCTGCCATGCAATCATCTCTCCTACTGCATCCGCGAGTGTAAACATATTGTGTGCAGGTCTCCATAAAAACGTTTCTGGTTTGGTCGCAGTTTCAACTAAAATCTTTACAGCGTTAGGCCCTAAAGGAATCCCATTGACTAACTCATCAGGATCAGATGAAACAACCCGTCCCTCAGCGACATTCACATCAACATCATACCAATCAACCAGATAACACTTGGGAAGTGCTCTGGTATTTACACTCTACATCAAACACAAGCAATGCAATATCAGTTTATAAATATAAATGTTGATATATATGAATACAGAGCAAGCAAATTCATACCCTATTTTTTGAGTATTCACTCACTTCAGATTCTTCTTCCGGTTTATTCATTTTGGCAATAGCCTACTGTAAATCAAAAACCTGTTTCTCCAAAGCACATGTTTTCTTCCATTGCAGCCATAAAGCTGTTCCTGACTTGTACACAAGTCAGTTTGGTCATGCTAATGCCTCTTCCCATTACCCCCAACCNAAATTCATACCCTATTTTTTGAGTATTCACTCACTTCAGATTCTTCTTCCGGTTTATTCATTTTGGCAATAGCCTACTGTAAATCAAAAACCTGTTTCTCCAAAGCACATGTTTTCTTCCATTGCAGCCATAAAGCTGTTCCTGACTTGTACACAAGTCAGTTTGGTCATGCTAATGCCTCTTCCCATTACCCCCAACCGGCCATGATTATCAGTTCCCAAAATCTGTGTAAGCCCATCCTGCTTTGGATCTGTTGTCCATGAATCTAGACCCTCTTGTTCTATCTCTGCAGCCTTTCTCTGGAAACACATTTCACAATTATAAACAACCAAGTCAGTAGATAGTCTAGTTGATGAAATCCACATTTATATATTATACACAACTTACA